AGCTGAGATCCGGCCACCGCACTCCAGCCTGGGCGACAGACAGAGCGAGACTCCGTCTCAAAAAAAAAAAAATACAAAAATTAGCAGGGTGTGGTGGTGGATGCCTGTAATCCCAGTTACTCGGGAGGCTGAGCCAGGAGAATCACTTGAACCCCGGAGGCAGAGGTTGCAGTGAGTCAAGATTGTGCCACTGCACTCCAGCCTGGGCAACAGAGCAAGACTCTTTCTCAAAACAAACAAACAAGCAAACAAACAAACAAAAACACATTTTGGGCCAGATAATTCTGTCATGGGAGCTGTCTTGTGCACTGTAGATTAATAGCATTTCTGATCTCTACCTACCAAATGCCAACAGCAGGCACAATGTTCCCTCTATCCCCCTCCCCACTGTGACAACTAAAAATATCCCTAGACTGTTTCCTGAGGGGCAAAGCCACACTCCTAGTTGAGAGTCATGGATGTAGACATACATGAAATGGTCACACATTGGCCCACCTCCCCAAATACATAGAGCCACATATCACAGGACATTCAGGCTTATACGCAGTCACACGGAGACACAGGTCACTCAGTCACAGACACAAAGGATTACATCCAGTGCCACTTCCTCAGTTTTAGGGGAAAAAAGACAGGAAAGAGCCCAGGATGACTTTCCTGCCCCACTATCCAACGGCCTCAGTTTTTCCTACAATAAACCAAGTCGTGTGCCGTGGACTTGATCATTCCTCACAGCCCACTTCCTTAGGCCAAGGCCTAAAAAGGTCAGCAACACCAGGACCCAGGGAATCACCTCCTATCCTTCTCAGGCCTACAGAGACCTCTATCTCCAGCCCTTTAGGAAAGTGGTGAGACAGTGAAGATGATTCTTGGAGCACTTGCTGGTAGCTAGAACTGAGAACCCACAGAGAAAGTCACACACCTGAGAAAAAATGTCTTACTGTCTCAAAGGGCATGTAGGGGTCACACAGGGAATGGGGAAGGGGGAGGGAACACAGAAAGAATTATGCCCCATAACCAAAAATCACTATTCATATCACATGCCAAAAGCGTTCCACAAAGTCACGGAGTGGCACATGAATCGATCTCCACAAACCAACACTCTTAGAGGTGTGTGATTTCCCTCCCGCATGTCACATGTCCAGGTCAGCGCTCACCGTCACGTGCAAGGCTGCCAGGGCCTCATCTATGGCAGCCAAGTAGTCAGGCAGCAGGTCCAGGAGACAGGTGGCCAAAAAGACGCCCCCCGCAAAACAGCTTACTAGGCTCAGCGCTTTCTGGCGGGAAGCTGGGTAGGGGTTAAGCACAGAGGAGAATGAGCAAACAAACCCCCTCCAGGGCCCACCACCCCAACCCAAACAATGGCTACCCTTGCCTTTCCCTCCTCCTTTGGTCACTCCCCACAGCCCCAGAGCCCTCCCTAAGCCAAGCATTCATAGGAGTGTGGGGAAAAGGAGAGGTTTACCTGAGGCTTCATGGTTAGCTCCTGGCCGGCGCAGCACACAGATGGGCACCAGGCTGCAGAGGAGGGTGAGCACCAGCAGCAGCACCAGGGCCCCCAACTTCACCTCCAGCCCCACAGGCACTGGAGGCTCTGAAGCTACCGCCTCTGGGC